GCTCCAGCACCAGCCTCTTTGCTCTCCACGAAATGGCTAATGGAAGGTGTGGGGGTAACGGGTGAATGAACAGAGGCAGGGAGCTTACAGTGGAGAACACAGCCGGACTCTGCTCACACACTTCTCCATGGACCAAGGATTAAGGGCTGGTGGTCACAGCCACCTGGAGGGACATTCTGCACCCATTTCAGCTCTTATTCCAACCATCTCTTCTCAGTCCTAGCCAAGAACTAAAACAAAACCTGCACAATTATTCTGCACAGTGAAGCTGATAAATATTTTGGCCTCTCCTCAAGATAGCATTTCTATGGAGCATGATATTAGCCGATGCTAGAATGTTTCCATCACGGTGAAGTGAGTGAACCTGAGAACACTGCTATATATTCAGGGTAATAAGCTGACTGTGAAAGTGAACAGAACTATTTATAAAGTAGGGCATTTAAAAAAGAATAAAAGGAAAAGGAAGGTTTACCTGCATGCTTTCAGCTAAACTGTAAGATAGGTGATGTTGGGAGGTTTGCTTATTTAGCTTGACTGACAAGAAATGATTGTTTAGTAGACCCATTCAATTCAAACTCTGGCTGCATGACCACAGGTGTGCTCTGCTGTAGGAGACAGGGTGAGAAAGTGAGGTGTCTGGGGAGCAACATTTATGGAAAGTCCACGCTCAGGCTGACCTTGTACCTGTGATGCCCTGTGCTTCATCCCTGCCCAAAGGTAATACAGATTCTGTACTGACTGAGCAGGCAATGCCCACAGATGGGTTAAAACTTGCATTGTAGTGACCTGGGGTACATGGTGGCTCCTTAATTCTATAGGCATGGTGGCCCTTTCACCAGGTAGTCTCTTGCTTTCTTTTGTCTGAAATGACCTTCCTCACTTTGTTAATGTGGGTAATGCTCCTGACCCTTCCTCTCAGCTTTGCCTTACAGAATCTATGGGCATTTATATTTTAAAGGAGAATGTCAGTTAGTACAAATGAATCTCTGTTGTGTGGGACTCCAAGGAGGTTTGCAAGCAGGAAGCTAGTATTTTAGCCCATATGGGGCAGATATCTGGCAAAGCCTGGATACAAAGGTCCAAGAAAGAACCAGGCACTTGGGTGGAATTTGCTTTACAAATCAGCAGAAACACCTCCAATTGCCAAAAGAGACTAATTCTCGCTGTATGCTTTTAACAACAGTCATGAAGGTATGAGAATATTAATTGCAGCATTGTTTATAGAAGAAAATAGGAAATGAGCAAAATGTCCAAAAAGAGGATGCCTTAGAATCCCAGGTGCTTTAATAGCATGGAATTAAACATACTTAGAGAAGGCAACCTTATATAATCCAACTTGAAAAGATGTCAAAGATATGTTTTTGAGTGAAAAGTGGGGAGAAAAACCAATATGCCTAGTAGGACATCACATATAAAAACAACCTCCCCAATTAATTTCATATATTTTTCCTTGGCATAATTATCCACTGGCAAATGAAAAGTGTTTGATAACACACATGGCAATCAGATCACAGTTGTGTGGAAAAGGGGGCAGGATTGGAGTGATGATCTAAATGGACTTTTTAAACATAGAACCCGTGTAAACATTTCTTTTGTAATTAAATATTTTCAATGGAAAGCTAAGTGCTTAATGACAGCACTGTAGTGGCTATAACATTAAATACTGAACCTGTGTTTAGATGCCAATGAATCAACACACAGCCAAGTGACATCTCAGCTGAGGGGCTGGAGTGACAGTAAGAAAGGCAGAAAATTCCTTTCCAATTGCATCCACATTTTACCTCTTGCCAATTCTTGCAAAATGCAGTGTGTTTAGACAACACACTGACCACTGAGGTTACTATTGTCACACACACACACACACACACACACACACACACATCCTCCCCCATCCTAGCTCCCTCCCCCCCCCACACACACACTAGCCCATTGAGCCCTCTGTGGGTGGTCACTCCACCTGTCAGCATCTTACTCTTAACAGCAGGGATTTATCAGACCTGTTGATGGCTGGTATTTATCACATGCTCTCTTTACACAAGCTTACTCACTGAGGCTGGTGCCTTTTTGCACAATGTTTGCCTGGAATAGATGAAGACAGTAGATGTGGTAACTTAAAAATCCTTTAGGATCAGATGCTATCATGTAAAACCCACTGACATGAACCAACCTCTGAGAGTGAAGGCCGAGCCCTGGGAGTAAAGCCTGTCATTCTGTGACTAATAAACATAACTGCATTGACGAAAACTAATGCACCTGGACGCTGATCACTGAATCACACTTTTAAATTTAATTTTATAGGAAATAGATGAAAAATGCCATTGCATAATTTATGCATCTGTGACATTTCATTTTACATATGGTAAGTCAGAATTTATTCGGATTTCAAATACTGATTTGCCTAAGGATGGGTGAAACCTATTTAGAGGTAGCTTTAAAAATGTGTGTGTGTGTGTGTGTGTGTGTGTGTCTGTGTGTGTTCATTCTGCCTATTGAACTGTGGAATCTGGGACAATTTAGAATCCTCTATACTTCAACCTCTTCTCATCAATACCAGAGAGAGAGTAATATAACTTCCTTGACTGACTGAAGTAGTGAAAAGAAATCGATTCTGAAATTAGCAGTAGGGGTTTCCGATGCCCTTCACAAGCTGTAAACATGCCGGTACATACAAGCAATATAAGTTTAAGTTATGTGTTTAATGTTATAAACTCAGTTATGACATTAAGTTTATCTATTCCATCAGCCCTTTTCAATTGTTTCCCAAGGTATTAGATGCTGACAATCTCACTGACCCATTGCTGAGAAAGTGTTATTTGTATTTTTCTTAGATTTTGTGTCATGGATCAAAGAAATCACAACTTATTCCTTCATTCAAAGGTTCTAGGAATCCATGACATCAGAGAAAATTATATTTGAGGTATTTGTTCATGTTTTTTCCCTTCCTGTTGAAGAGCAGTATATATTATTTTGGAAATATTTTTTAATTACATATAAAAATATAAAATTTTCAACTAAAGGTAAGTGCATAAGGGAAAACCCGCAAGTCCCCACTCCTGTACGTAGCTGGCATGAGAAGTGAGGAGTTATTAAGTACAAGTGGCCTGCTGGTGAGATGCCTATACCTTACTCTCTCCTCCCTCCCATTTCCTCTTCCTCTCTTCTTCCCTTTCCCTCTTTTTCAGTTTTTTAATGTCAAAATTTAAAATATGCACAAATGGTAGAATATAGTATAATAAATCCCCATGTCTCTATTAACATCTTCAAATATTACCAGTAACTTTTCCTTTTTTAACAATTTATAGGAAATCTCACACATTATGTATCTGTAAAAGATAAGGTAGATTTATTTATTTATTTTGGCCTAACCAAAATACAATTGTCATAGCTAAATACGTAACTATAACATATTTTGTTAATCTAATATCATAAATATAGATAATTAGATTTAGATATAACCTGTGACGGTTAATTTCATTTTTCAACTGGAATAGGCCATGGGGTGCCCAGATATTTGGTCAAACACTATTCTAGGTGTTTCTGCCAAGGTGGTTTTGAGTGAGATTCACATGTAAATCAATATATTGCATAAAGCAGACTGCCTTCTCCAATGTGGGCGGGCCTCATCCAATCTATTGAAGGTCTGAAGGGAACAAAGAAGCTGACCCTCCCCTAAGTAAGAAAGAATTCTTCCTTTCTGGTGTCCTTCCCCTAAACATCAGCGATTTCCTGCCTTCACACTCAGATGAAAGCAGTGGTCTTCCTGGGTTTCAAGCCTGCTGGCCTTCAGGTAGAAAGTACACAGTCAGCTCTCCTGGTTCTCTTGCTTTCCGACTAGGACTGCAAGCATACATCAGTTATCCAATGTGCCATGCACCCTGCAAATCTTGGGATTTGGACTGGCCCACCTCCATAAATATTTGATCCAATCCCTCATAAAAATAAATTCTCTATCCATTTAGCTAGCTAGCTAGCTAGGTAACTAGCCTATATAATAAAAGCCTAATATGCAAACGACTGAACTGTGGAATGACTGGTTGCTATGATGTACACTGAGCACCAGGGGGCAGATGCTCAACGCAGGAGCTGCCTCCAGTCTACAGGCCCCAGGCCAGCCAAGGTGGGTGCCAGTGGGAGGGGGCCCCCAATCGCCCCAACAGTTGCCCCACAGATCGACCCTGATTGCCAGCAAGGCCTGGAGACCCTACCTGTGCAGGAATTTCATGCACTGGGCCTCTAGTCTGATATAAAAACATACCCCTGGAAAACCCTGACTAATACATCTCCTAATCACAAGTCCATACTCAAATTTCCCCAAATAGCTAAAATATGTCTTTGTACAGATTGAATTAGCACCCAAATATATCACATGCACTATTTTTAAGTCTATAAACAGTTGCATTTGTGGAAAAGTCATGGACTATTTTCCCTTTTATTATATTTCTTAAATAATACTGGATAAACTCCACAACACAGAACATCAAACCTAAAACTTTAGAATCTGATTCCAGATTTATAAGGATCTGAATGCATGCCTTCAACGTGCCAAGAACAAATAAAGAAAAAAACATTTCTGCTAATATACTCTTGAAAAGTCAATGAGCTTCTTCTCTGACTCTAGGTCCAACATCCCCACATCTACAATGCAGGAAATGCAGATATGAAATAGTTATTTGCCCTTCCTCCCAGGGATGCATGGAGGGTAAAATGTAGTCTTTATTGAGGAGTTCTGAAATAAAGTATTAAAAAATGAAGCAATTTACATATTATCACCATCATCTTCGAACCTGTTTTACTTCTTTATTTACAACTGGGTTTTATTCTCAGATGAAATGTGTGGTATTAATGCAAATCTGTGCTTCGTTACTAAAATGAACAAAAGCAAATAAATTGTGCTGTAATGAAATAGGCCTGGTTTTTGATCAGAAGTAATTCTGTACCTTTAACACATGCTGAAAAGCAGCAAAGGTGGACCTCTCAAGGTCACTGCTCCAGACACTCACCCAGTACTGTTGAGGTAACTCTGTCCGAGGCTGCAATCCTTGGACAGAGAAGATGGATTGAACCAAAATGCTGGCAGGCACTGACCATTGCTGTGTCGCTCATAGCCATAGTCACTGTTGGGGAAAGAGCCAAGAGAAGCCTTTTAGTAGGTGGCAAAATTATTGAAAACAATTTCATGTTAGTCCACAGGCAACTTCAACTCCAGTCACTTAGACAAGAAAGAGGTATTCACTAAATACCAAAAATGGAATTTTTTTTCCAGAGAATATCTATGTTACCCATAAAGATATCCTATAGAAGCCATTTTCAGAAATGCTGACTTGGAGGCAAGAGGGATGCCTGTGTAGAAATGAAGGCTCAATGACCAATAATTCTTCCTAAATAAATTATATATATATATATATTTGATATTTAATTGATTTTAGAGAGGGAGGAAGGAAGAATGAAAAGGAGATAGAAACATCTATGAGAAAAAAGAAGAACATTGGTGGGCTTCCTCCTGCATGCCCCATACTGGGAATCGAGCCCACAATGCAGGCATGTCCTTGACCAGGAATCAAACTGGGTGACCTCTTGGTGCATGGGTCGATGCTCAACCACTGAGCAACAATGACTGGGCTCAATGCCCAATAATTCTAAGTAAATACGTTGAAGCTGAGAGAGCAGATACAATTTTCATTAGGTGGATACACAATACCGATCATGGTTGGTCCAGAGGAAGCTATAACTAGTGAGCAGGCAGTGGAGGAAGCTCCACCCTCGGTGTAAAGTTTCACTGAAGAGTTTAACACAGCAACATGTGTCATGGTCCTCATTCATGTTGGTGTCTTTGGGGTGCTCTTCCAAGACATCTGGATCTACCAAGTAGAGGAGCCAGGTCTGTCTGTGCACAAGCCATATGCTTCAAAGTCACAGCAGGAAAGGAAGCGTCCTTCAGGAGTGTCCTGAGAATTTCCCCCAGGAAAAGTTTTGTCCTGGTCCAAACTGGCAGTCCTAGCTAAGTAAGAGGATTTAAAAATCCTCTCTCTAGTTGGGAACAAAGCCCTTTCTCTCGGCCTCCTCTCATTCTTGCCCCCAGGGGCCTCCAAGTGGCCTGACATCCTGGGATTCTGGAAGATGAACCCAGGCAGAGGCTGATGACAAAGTGCACCTCCACATGCACATACAAATTGCAGGCGGTGACCAGCAAGCACTCATTTGAACTGGCCCATCTGTGTGATGGAGGTGAGATGCTAGCACATAGGAGCTGGGAAGGGAGAATAGGCTCAGCTTAAGGGGCTTGTCACCAGGCAGCTGGCACTTAAAATTCTGCACATACCAGCTGGACTTGGTGCTGGTTCAACACAGCATGGGTAGGAAGCCTTCAGAATTGATGCCCACAGGACACCCAGTGTTCATTTCAGATCATTAGTTTACAACTGCTGGAGAATGACAGGCAAGGTCACCCGGGGAACAGTCCAGGGGAGAGCCAAGGCAAGAGGGAACATTCAATGACAACCACCTTTCATTATGCTACAGTCAAGTGGGATCAATAACGCTCTAGCTACTGGTAGAAACTCCTAAGGTCATGGTAAGCTTTCCAAAATACTTTCAGAAATTATGCCCTTACAAAAATCCCCTTTGGACAGAAAGCAATGCAATGGCCTCATTCACAATTCATTTCCCACTTCTCAGAAAACATATCAGTTTGTTCTAAGAGAAGCAGATTCCAATCTCAAATGAATATAAGAACTGGGCCAAGACTGAGGGGTATGAGAGGTGGGGGAGGGGAGAAACCTGATTGCTTTCCTTCCCCTGTGTTTCTTTTACTCTAGACTAGCTTAAATTTGAAAGAGAAAAACCAAAATGACCGTGACAACAAACGTCTAGGTTATTTTGGCACCTCATGAAAAAGATTCCCAAAGGAAGACATATTTCCAGGAGAAATCAGGGAACTGGGACATCTCACCTCACTTCTTCCAGGTGGTTTTTATGAGAGGATACATTTGCTCCCTGCACAAGAATGGCTGTTTGATAAGGCTACACTTCAATTGCAAAGGTGAAATGCTCACTTCCTTTACAAATCCCCTTTGAATACAGTGGATGAAGGAGAAGCATTTTGGCTTCGGAAAGAGGGAAGGGATGAATGACTTAAAATTCCCAGGAACATTTTCCCTGTGAAGGTATTTCAGGGCGTCAATCCTGAAAGGTAGGAAAGGGATAAAGTATTTTTGTCATTGGAATCATGTTGCAATGACTAAAACACAAGTCATGGCAGGGGAGGCCCCTGTAGAATTCACTGTGAGCTCCACTGTAATAAGCTCTTCTGCCCTCTGGCTGAGCCCAGAATAGAGCATTGGCTCTTGCCTTACCTGTCTACCCACAGTGAGGAACAGCCTTTGGTGATCAATCTGAGTGCTGGCGGCCAATTTTGCCAGGCCTTCCCAGTGCTACTTATTCAGACATCTCCAGAGGTCTCCCATGAGAGCAGACTTACTTTTTCTAAGATTGGTGATGTGTGTGTACATAATACCTCTCAGATATTTTGATGATCAGAGATGTGACCAGTGATTGCTACATACCTTGAAATAAATTCTTAAAGGAATGACTTTGGTTCTCAAGCAGGACAAGTTTCAGTCATTTAACACTGACCTACATATTTAGCAATTGCATTTTCTAAACTCAAAACATAGAAAGAAATATCAAAGAAAAGGAAAAAAAATAAGTGGGGGGAGAGGAGCAGACAAGGAAATGGATATAATCAATGGAATTCTCACCCACTCATTCTCAATAATTTTTCAACCTCACCTGAATGCTAAACACTGGCCTAGACCAAAGCAAGGGAACTCCTGGCCCCGTGAGCCAGATTTCTGCTTCCCAAATGTTACAGGAGTCTCACACTGGCACTCTTTTATTTAACATCTAATCATTTCAGGATTTCTCCAGTTTAAATGAACCTACTCCCTGTAAAGGGAGACTTGCACCTTTAGTGCTAGGATCACGGAGCTGTAGACTGGCAATATCATCAAATGGAGAAATGCCTTCTATGCTCACGTAAGCAAGAATCAGCTGACCACTGAAAATTTCCAGGGATAGAAAATTTACTGCCTTTTAGGGCCATCTTTTCACCCTCAGGATCCCTAGATTCTAGAAAGCTTAATCTTGAGCACACATATGTTTGCTCTCTGAAAAGACACTCCTTGTTTTCACTGTTGCCATCTGAAGCAACTCAGGATGTTTTGTCCCGAGATCTATCACACAGAGGAAAATAATTACCAGCCATCTTTGGAATCCTCTTTAAGTCTACAGAAATGCCTGGTTTTTCCATATGCACATGTACAAGTACACCATGATGTCTCCAAAGGTAATTTCATAACAAGAGGAGGTTCAATCTAGCTAGGTCACTATTATTTCAAATCACAGCTTTCATTAAGGACTCCATAAAAAAGCACGGGTTGAACATTCTGGCTTAGACAACGCCAGTTCCTACACTTGAATGACTAGCTTGCCCCCAATAAACCCCATGGCTTTTGCTCAGCAGTAACTCCACAGAGTTCATAAAGATAAAGATAACTGCAATAACAACACCAACAGTTATAACAACAGCTAAGACTTGATACACTGAGGACTCCTTGGGATAAAGGCACCAGCTCACCAGTCGAAATCGGCCTCTGTGCAGACACAGGGTTCAGACTCCATGGCTCCTGCATACTTTCCTTGCATACATTTCCGCTCTGACTTCCGCTTCTTATATATCCTTTTGGCTCCCATGATGCATGCTTCCCCCTGGAAGGAGACAGGGATCTCAGGTACTTGAGCACAGCACTGGGATCTTCCCTGTGCCACACCGGGCAGTCCAGGGAGATGTTCTCAAACCTCAGTGTGATCTGGACTGAGGTGGTCTGCTCTGTGCTGATGGCTTTTTTGTTTTGTTTTATTTTTGTGTTTTTTTTTTTTTGTTAATCTTCACCTGAGGATATTTTTCCATTGATTTTTTTAGAGAGAGTGGAAGGGAGAGGGAGAGACAGAGAGAAACATCGATATGAAAGACATGCATCAATTAGTTGCCTCCTGCATAAACCCTCACCAGGGCCAGGGGGCCTGCAACCAAGGTATGTGTTCTTGTAGGGACTCGAATTCAGGACCTTTCAGTCTGTGGGCCAACACTCTATCCCCTAAGCCAAACCACTAGGGCTGTCAGCTTCTTCTTTTCAGTGTCAGCAGCCCCAGAATAGAATGTGACTAATAAAGTCAGTCAGAAGAAGCATGGAGGGTGTGTCTAAAAGTGTCCTTCACTCCTGGCGCATTCAGCAAAGCTCTCCTTGGCAAGGTGTTAGGCGCAGCGCTGTGAGGGGCCCATGGATCATGAAGACTCAGCCCCTTAAGTGTATTGCCAACAAACCTGGGATAATTACGTTCAATTCTCCTGTTGGAAAAGATGTATGTTCTTGCTCAATCGTGAGCCTATGAAAGGAGAGCATTGCCTAAGAAATATAAAGATCCCTTTTGCCCCAATTTATGCTGCTTCTGCCCACGCAGCTTTTTACACTGATTTTATATCCATCTATCAGACAAGCGAGAAAACTGAATTCAGTATTTCTCTACAAAATAAAAGCTTTGAACACACAAAGCTCCTGCCTCCCAAAGGGGAAAATATCAGCCATGTAGATGAGTGATAATTTTATTTTTGCATCTCTGAATGGAGTGGGCGAGTCAGCGGATGCATCCGGCAATGCCAAACACAGCTCCCTCTGCACGTCTGAAGGACTGGAACACAGCTCTGTCTGTCTCAGCTACTACAACCTGTCCCTCTTACAAAACTCACTTTAACTGGCTCCACTCCACACATACATGTAAATATATCACAGTCTAGGCTGGGAGTAAACGATGTGTTATTGCCTGAACATGGCGATGGTTTTGCAATAGACCATCCTTTCAGGGCCCTGGATGCCGTCTGGCTTGGGAACTCAAAGGAGAGAGGCTTTCAGACAAGCATTCTGATATGAGCTAAATAGTTAAGGGGCCAGGACGAAGGAAAAGTTCCTATTAATAATTCTGCATTCTTGTACCACGTGTACCCTGGAGGAGGCGAGAATCAGTACCTGATCCCAGGGAGTCACAGGAGTGGGGAGGAAGGACACTCCTGGCATTGCTCACAGAGCATACGCTTGTTATTTTATGTCTCCTGTTTGCTTTGCTAGATCGAATTCAAGACTCCTTGCTCACCCCTGCCTCCACCCTGCATCCATATGACATGCTCAGATAAATTAGGTTTAGATGCCTGTGCTGAGTTGGTATTTCATTTTGAGTTGTAAGTCTAAGCCAAACACATTTGAATTTTATCTCATTATATCCCAGTACAATAAAAACAGAAATTACTTCACAACAAGCTATAAAATGTAGAGTTTGTTCACTGCTGTGGAACACAGAACACGTAAGAAAGCACAAGAGGAGCATTCTGGCTTAGACAACCCCAATTCCTATACTTGAATGACTTAGCTTGCCCCCAATACTCCCCCTGCCTTTCGCTCAGCATCTACCCTCTGCTCTCTCCCTCCTACCTGGCTGTGCAGCTGCCAAGGTCTGTAGTCCTCCTCGGCACACCTTCTATCGAAAATGGACTTGTAGTCCACTTTGACCAGCTGCCATTCAGAGCGGTGGCTGAAGTGTCCGAACACTCTACAGAGTTCATAAAGATAAAGATAATTGCAATAATAAAAATGCCAATAGCTATAACGACAGCTAGCATTTACCCAGTGTCTACTATGAACTTAGCAAAATGCTAATAAGTACATTGCATTGATCTCACCACTTAAACCTCAAAACACATTTATAAAGGGGGTGACTATTATTGGCCCCACTTCACCTATGGGTAACGCAAGGCTCAAAGAGTTTTGTTCATTTGTAAAAACCAATGTCAAATCACTGAAGAACTAGTAGATCAGGACGTAGAGTGTTTAGCGTAAAAGACCACTTCTATATATCGTGCCAGAGAATAGTTAACAAAAAAAAAATCCATCAATCAATCAACCAACCAACCAATAATGGAGAAAACAATCACAGATACTGCTTTCTACATGGTCTGAGACTGCACTTCTTGGCTGTCTTGCTAATGTACATGATTTTCATGCTATTTAATTTCCTACCAGTCGCTAGGGAAAGTGGGCGGCAAGGCCAAGTGCTTACAACTGCTTCCTACACTGTGCATTCTGCTCTGCTTACTGAAAAGACACAGGTATTTAATGAGGTGTTTGAATCACTAATCGCAGATAAGGATAAAAACCACAAAGCAGCCTTTTTCGGTCAGCATCTTCTATCTGTTTTGCAAATATAAAAATTAAATGAAGACAAATTATGGAATACATTGTTAATCTAGCTATGTTTACCATGGCCAAAAGTGTAGCTATTAGGCATATTAAATATTGATTGATTTATTTTCTATCATTAAAAAAAAATAAAAAGAAAAGGGGACAGAAAATTTAGAAAATACACCAACTCATCACTTTGATTTTTACAGTGTCATGTCCGACAGGATCAACTACTTTAAAACCTTCCCTCTGTTTCCTGTGTCCAATTTTCTAGGGGAAGGAAAAGGCACAGTTTCATATTTTAAATTCAAAGCCAATGTTTTGAACCCCACAGGCAGGCAAGTCATTAATCAAGTCTTTCACAAATTAATGATCATCTCTTTCCAGACAAGAATGAGTGCAAATGCAATTTCCCAAGAACAGATTGTTCTCAGGGTTTCCCTAATATGCCTCACAATTGGGTTAGGTAAAGAGCCAGGGAAAAAGAAAAGCCTGCATGGGGTTTTGCTCAAGCTCTGAGTTCTGCCTTAAAGTGAAACCATTCCTTATATGCCCATGTCTTTCTATATATTGAATTTGTTGATTATTAAAGTTTTTAATTGCATAGCTTTCTTTTCTACTGCAATGATCTCTTCTAATTCCCCTCGGCCCATGCAGGAGGGGAAGAAATGAGCTAGCTTGCCACCCACCCTCAGCATGGGACTCCCCATAATTAGTAAAAGCCAGGAAACTGGTGCCCGCACTTTTCTTTCCTCTTTACTGGGGAATCGTGAACTCACATGTATGGACTTGCCAGCAACTCCAAACCTAACAGCAGCAAAGCGAACAAACAGCTAAAAAACACGTTTCTGGATGAATAGCAAGACGTGTTCCACTTACGTCATGATTAGAGTCTCTTCCCCAGGTTCACCCAGAACCCCATCCACAAAAAGGGGAATCGATGTGAAACTGTATTTGCTCCAAGATCTCCCTTCATCAAAACTCAACCTAATGACAGAAGAAAAAAAACCCAAAAAACAATTACAGTCCTCAGATCTCCAAAGGAAAAATAAAAATCCTTTCTAAAGAAAGATACTACCAACCAGGAGAGAATCCATTTGAAAAGTGCCTAAGGCATTGTCAAAGTGAGCCATGAATAAGTGTCCTTAATTACACAAGAAGGTAGAAATACAGTGAGCCCAGCGATTTGGGACCCGGGTGTATTATTACATTAACAAGGGGAGAGGTGCATGAAATGAGAATAATAATGAGTCTTTGATAGAATCTGTTTTTAAATTTGGATATTTTATTAGATCTTAGATCTCAATGTGACTCTCTCCAAAACCTCAGGGTAGTCTAGTAGCCAGCCTTTCAGGTGATTCTGAAGAGCAATGGCCATAGGGGACCTATTTAGATGGACTTGAGCCAGCTGCCTCCAAGCATTGAGAGCCTTACAGAATCTCTCTTACATCGTTATAAATCCTGGTTGACTCACTGAGTGAATGAATGGGTGCAGAAGGACAGACTCTTGATAGCAAGAGGAGAGAAGTCTGCAACTCTGAGGGTCACGCAGGATGTTTCTTTTGCTCTGCCCTTCCCTGTGGATGCCTTCCACCAGGCTAAGCCTCTGTTTCTCTTATTTCTGCAGCTTTCCCTTCGGTCGCCAGAGTAGCTACCAGAGGAGGGAAAATCAGGCTTTTGACTTGGAACAAGCTCACATGTGGAGAGAGTCACTTTCAAAAACACACATGAAGGAGTCTGTGGGAAACCCCTCTGGAAGTTAGGACTTGCACATCCATCTGCAGAAGACCTACAACTAGAGTTGCAGAATGTCACCCCCAAATGGGAAACTAAGGAAGTACAATCAGCAACAGTATCCTGATCTCTGCAGAACACACATACTGGTAATGAGCAGGCATTATTTGGGAAAGGAGTTAAGCTACTCAGAGATTATACCTGGCGCAGCATTCTACCCACAATTGTGCTAAAAGGATAAGGTACTGGAGAGGGTATTGTCACATTTAAAAACTATAATGTAATTCCTCTCTCAGGGGCAGAGCTCATCCTCCTTCCCTCCTTCCCTCCTCCCCTCTCTATCTCCTTTCCTTCTCCAACAGGCCACAATCTTATTTTAAAAGAGCAAAGGTGTAAATTATGTTCTAGTAGACCTTGACATTTTACAACAAACATGATCACAGTTGAATAGCCTGACTTCTAGCCTTCACAGTGAGGAACCGCAAGGAGTATGACTCATGGGCAACAGGTGCCTTTACCAGAGATGTCGAATTGGAAGAGACGTGTGCTTCATAGCAACTAAGACTCCACCTTGATCCAGATACAGGACACTGTGCTCTTCTTCAAAGATCTGGAAGAGGAAACCACATCCACATGGACACACATCCATGTCCACACACATCCAGAGTTCAGATAATTCGTACTCACATGAGGAGAAAAAATAATCCCTCTCCTGATTGAACAAGGTTTCCCCAAATCTTTGGGAAGACACAATAATGAACATTGCTTCACAAGATGGGCTACATGTACCGCTGGAGTTACATAGAATTGTTTTAGGTGCACCACAAAACAAATGTAAAGAATAGTTATGTATTGATGTTTATATTCTGATGTTATTTTGTGGCATGTTCTATTGATTCCCATTGATAATCATGTCAGAATATTGGATAACTCACATTGGGTAACATTCTAAGGTAGAAGAAACCTTAGAAATACTTTAATCTCACATTCTCATGCTTATATACGAGGCCACTAAGGTTGAGAGAGATGTTGAAACTTGCCTACGAGCATGTATGTAGTGATTGATGGAGCTGGAGCTTGCAGCATTACAGTGACCTTCCAGATACAGTTCTTTCAAACTTTCCAAGTATTCTAGAAAAAACGTGTTCTTGTTCAACCAATAGGTTTTCTACCAAGTTATAAAGTAGCTCTGATGAAAATGGAATCATTGGGTACATGTGCCATTGGATCTTTTTCTAAACGTGGAGAAACCAATGTGAAGTCAAATGGAAATAGAGTGAAAGCAATTTCTAAGTCCTCTCTATGTAAGATGCATGCTGGCTTCTCACAGTCACACTGTTAGTATAGCTGTCTGTGGTTACACTATAGACATAATATTCTTCCGCTTTACTTCTTTTTTGAAATTTTTAAAATGTTTATCAAATTCATTGGGGTGACACTGGTTAATAAAAGTATATAGGTTTCAAGTGTACAATTCCATAATAGATCATCTATATTGTATTGAGTGATCACTACCCCAAGTCAAGCGCCTTTATTTACTTCTTACACCCATATGAAGGTATATCCTATCCAAGGACCATAGAAGTAGAGACTTATTTTGCTTTGTTTGGGGTTTTGGAAGGAAAAAAAAGGATCCTGGCTCTCTAACTATTCTCTAGAGGAAAATTAACAGTGATCATTGCCTCTAAGATCAAGAGCCCTGAGGTTTTTAGGCAAATTTCTTTCTTGCCCTGCCCTTCTCACAACACGTGAATCCCACTGAGGACTTATTAGGGGCCTGGAATTAGGAAATAGCAATTGGACCATAGCATGGAGATCTCTGACTAAAATATAAAGCAGAGTTGTTCTCATTGCTCTGTGATTACCTGTGCATTAAATTTCAATTTACGGTGCTAGTTATTGTATGATAATTAAATGTCAGTGGGTTATTAAAACATATTTATTGAAGGGTAACAACCATGCATTAGGCACATATCTTGTTATGATTGTGAAAGCTCATTAAATGCCTGTTTTATATGCTATGGGTATCTAATTTTCATTCAGAAGAAAGAGAGAAAGCATTTAAGCTAAACACATTGGTTTAAAGTGATTCCATTTCTACTTTCCGTAGCATATGCACGGTGATGGTTATTACTCTGTCTTTTGCTCATGAGATTTAAACATCTCAGAAAACCACCTGGGTAATTGCTATTTCTATATCACTGCATTGCTCTCTATTCTGACTTCAAGGCACGGGGAATTTATGGAGATAACCCAGCATTAGGTATATAATCTATCTTCTAGGTGCCATGTTCCCTATATGATAAACTTTAGGGTTCTGGTTTTCTTTTATGGGAAAAATTCAGTCAGATCTAATTTGGTTTCACTGTCCCTTATAAACTTTCTTCTATAAAGGCTCTGAAAATGGGTCATTTTTATTGAATGGCAAGAAAAAAATCAAATTGTAAAAAGATTCACTAACCTCAAAGACTTAAGACTAAATAAATGCATTGACAAGCTGTAGGATTTATATGTAGTTAAATAAGTTATTATGTGTAGGAGAATAAGTTCCCAGAATGGAATCGAACTGAGCAAATTTAATGTCAGTTAGACTTCAGCAACTTGACCTAGAACACTTTCTTACCTGCCTCCAAGTGTTCCCTGCATCTGAAGAGACAAACATGCTGATGTCGCTGTCTGACAATTCAGAACCTATGTTACCTAGAAAGAGCACAGAGCCATGAGTGGACAGAACTTTCTGCACAAGCTAACAATGGGGCAGTCTGCATCGCCTGAGATGGACTGAGATTGCAAACATATCTGAGCAGCGTTTTTCAGCATACTTGATTCAGGGTCAATAGTTTAGGTGCAATTCGAAAAATATCTTTAGCTTGCTCCTAGCAGAAGATGAAGTTCCTAGCAGAGATATCTAGCTTCTTAAAATAAACACAATTTACAGCAGCAAGCAATCCAGGTGAGCTTCTTACCTGAAGCCACTATGATGCTGGGAGCTGTCTCTCGACTGGCAATGATCCCTGATGTGTAGGGATTCTCAGAGACCTTAAGGTGAAGGTGTAGTGAGCAGTAAGGCTGAGAAGAGGAAAAAATGAGTGTCATGAAAGCACACAATCTAAATAGTCATTTCAACCTCATGTTCAGAGCATCTATCCAATCATCCAACCATCCCAGCTATGCATCCATTCATGTACCCTTTCATTCACCTGTTTTCATTCCACAAATACCTAGTGTCCACTAAGCATAAGAAAGCTGCCAAGCTGGTGAGGGAAGGCTTCTTCATTTTAAATTGAACTGACTGCCTTCATTGCCATTTGAGCATTTACCAGAACATTTTGAGCATTTTATCTGTAAAAGGCTAGGTGTAGTTTATGAAAGAGTTACATTGACTCAAATTTGGTCTTGACTATCATGGAGTGTATAATTTAAGATCTTTTGATTGATTAACATAAATAGAAAATATTTTAATACCATAAGATCAGTACAGATAAGATATGAGATTCTACAGGGTGACAAAATGATGTCCAAATTTTGATCAGGAAGGCTCCAAGGAGAAAATGGTGCCTTGGGCAAAGATGGGTAGGTTAGGAATGGGTAGGTAGGTAAGATATTCAGAATAAAGGACATTTCAGTCACAAAGAAAAACCACAAAGAAAAACACACAGAAGATTTGAGTTACAATACAGTATATAGTCATACGAAAGAGGAGAAATAGGACATGACGTCAGGAAAAAAGGTTTGGTGAGGCTGGGAGAGCTGTTAAGAAGTTAGCCGGCGTCTCTTAGCCACTCTCCATGTGAGAACTTGGTCTCAGTTGTACAAAAGAAACTGTATGATGTGTGAGACTATCCTGACATCCAACAGACAATCAACAGGGTATTATCAGAATCAGTATTATTCAATAGGAACATCATCCTTGTAGGCAAAATGTACAATAACGGCAATTTCAATGAAAATTTAAGAGGCTTGTTTATTTGTGTGTGAAAATCTCGATCAAATTTTCTGATTAATATATCACCGGTTTTGATAATAAATCTTACACAAGCTTCATTTGGAATAGTTCTTATACTGAGTTGTCAAAAACTAAGAATTTGTGTCTGAATCCACACTTCTTTTCATCGCTGAGGAAGATTACTTTCTAATCTTACCCACTCGAGTTTTTGGAATCACCAATGTATCTCTGTTATTACTTTGATTCTGCTCTCTAAGTCGCAACCAGCAGATACTCAGAGAGCTAGAGAGGCAGTGATTAAATTTATATCAGATAGGGTAAAATGACAAACTAAAAATGAAACTCAGGAAGAAAAGCAACCAAGATACTGGTGAACTGAAACAGTGGGCCACAATAAGGTCTTTTCCTTCCACCGACAGAGAGTAAACTCTCAAGGAATGACAATAGTAATATATTTTCAATTTTACATGAAAATTTCATGTAAAGCTTTCAAAAAAAGATTTTTTTTTTTTACTTTATAATGTTCCAAAAGAGTAAAGAAGATTCCCCTCTATAAGAAGAAATAATCAGACCCAAACACTTGGCTCCCTTTCATCCAAGAGGAAGACCAGAATGGGTATCGTTATATTGCCAAGGTCCCAGGAACACACTGCACAGCTCTCAGTTGCTAAAACAGGATAAAGCAGAGGTGTCAGACTCTTGTTCCATGGAAGTTTTGCTAACAACACTAGCTTATCAGGATCTCCCTTCTCTAGTCTACAACGCTTTATTTTACTAGGCACCATCCTGTACCTCACATACCTCACATATGGTTCTATGCCCCCAAGAGATACACTCTGCAAATAAAGAGAAAATGTCAAGTACTCCATTGCATCATCTGTGAAACTTAGCCTAGAATCAAAAATGAAAGTTTGAAGTAACAAACAATGATTTTATGTTAGGAAGTGAATGATACCACTCTTTTACTCAGAACAATGCCAGAAGTACCCAGGCTTATCTGTAAACCACACATCAGAGTCATATGAGCATTTCCATGGCTTTAGAACCGCATCACTCCTTGGGAAATGCGTAGGTAAATGGGTTGAATGGAGCACCTCTGAACCACCCAACAAGGCGGAACATCCCTGGACAAGGGAGCACCCAGCTTGCAATCTTGAGTGGCCACTTGCCACGAACTTCATCACTCAATGGTCTGGAAGATTGTGAAGCTCAGTTGCCCCGGGACCCACAGTTTCTTTGTTGTGGGGACTTGCCATTGCAAAGGAAAGGGTGCATTTCCAAATGACCGTATCAGCACAGCCCGTGGCTATGGCTTTCAGAGCCCAAGAGAAGTTATTTTGAGAAGAAAAGACAGCAGTTCATGCAGTAGCGGCAACATTAGAAATGATCTCTCTGGTGCACTTTTTCTCCGTGTTCACATTTGTAGTACTGGATTGCCCCCAGCTGGTATGAGGAGAATATTCCGTGGCTTTATTTTATTTCTCCCTTTTTTTTTCAAGGAAGTTAGATAGTCTACATCAATGTTCGATGAAAAACAATGGTAAGTGATTCATCCCCACATATTTAACCTTAAACGTTTATACCTGGCCGGTTTCAGACATTTGTCAAAGTTAAGTCACTAAAGCTTAATAGAGAGGTTTATTATAATGCCTATCGAGCCACTACAGACTCCTGAAGGACAGAACACAGTTCTCTGATTCTTCTGTACTTTTTGCCCGGATAGGGGGCACTCTGTCCACATCTGTCTTCTTTCCTTTCTGCCTTCCTGCCTTCTTTCCCCCCATTAGCACACAAGTACCACATATGTGAGTATCTCTCCCGAGTTATCTCCAATTCAGTGGCATCAAAACACAGCTTGTCCCAAAGGCATCTCTCTCTTTTTCTTATTCTTCCACATTAGGACAATATAGAACCGTGCACTAAAACGACCATGACCTAGCACCTGACTTACAGGGAATGAAGGGACCAGCATACATGTGTGGATGCTGCCCTTTGATATGTCTCTTCATAGTCACAGGGCATGGAATATCACCAATCAATTCTAGGAGCAGCTGGATCCTTTTTTTAAAAAATATATTTTATTGATTTTTTACAGAGAGGAAGGGAGAGATATAGAGAGTTAGAAACATCGATGGGCGAGAAACATCGATCA